TCACTTTGATTTTGTCTTTTATGTAATTTTTATTGAATTATGTTTTTATACATGTGATTTTATTATTATTGTATTTCAGTTTTATGGATTGTGAGCCGTCCCAAGATGCCAAGGCATAAGGGACGGCATACAAAAGTTTTAAATAAATAAACCTTGTTTTTTGGCAAATTTGATGACATTTGTTGACACAGTTCTAAGCAGATGAACGCTGCTAAAAGTCAGACAAGTGGTACAGAAGAATTAGTTGAAGTAGTCTGTAAAATTAATTGAAGGAGATAAGATTGATCTTGTCACCTCTATTTCCTTCCAGATAAAGTTATTTAAATGAAACACAGGACAACATTTGGGTTTAGTAATCCATCCTGCCAAGAATAAGAGGTAGCCACTATCAAAAATCATATACTGGATATGCTTTTTTTTAAAAGACCCCACTTCCATTTTGTGTCAGTAACAGACCCATACAACATTCCGTTTGGTTTTTTTCCCCTTATATTTGCTAACAAGAGTAATTAACAATAGCGATTTAGTGTTTTTGAGGTATCAGCTGCAAATTTCTGTTTCCTCACAATCATTTTTCTCTTGGTAAAAGTTACAACATAAAACATGTACTGATGCAGAAACATAATACTACATTTTTCTATATAATTTTAGCTATTAGAGTTTAATTATAGTAGTTCTTTTATTGTGCACTTTAATTCACACAAGCTTCTTTTCAACAATTAAACTCTGTATGGCAACTCAAATATCTATTGTGAAACACTTTGAGTAATATAACATAAACAAATATTGGCAAATTATTTGTTGTTTCCTTACATTAAGCACAGTTTTCTGAACTATACTAGTGATTTTGCAAAGTCCTAACATTCTAGAAAGTACAGTGAACTTATGTTTATGAATTACTGTGAACTGCCCAGAGAACTTCTGCTATAGGATAGTACAGATATGAAATTAATATCAGTAATGAGTATAATTCTGAATGTATCCCACTTTTATTGCCAGTCAGTAGTCCCAGTACATTTTTTCCCTCCTCCTCCTTCTCCTCCCCCCCCCTTTCTTTTTTGGCATTTTACACCCGCTATGTTTTTAGCTTGGAACCTTTAAGGTTTTGAATACTACCCCACACATGCAGCCCCTTCACAGCATGAGCAATGAAAACAGCATCCCTCTAGTTAAGCAGAGTT